ACTTCCTCTGGTAGTCTCTCCGCCCGCCCGCCTCCAAGCCCCTGAGCCATCTTTCTAATTTTCAAAACAATTGCTCCGTCGTTTTTGACTATATTATGGATAGTGTTGTAAACGTAGGAAACCATTTGAAACAACTTTCTCCAAAACGGCTTCTAATTATTTTTTTTAATTCTTGTATGTAACAAAGAACTGTAAGGATAGGGGCCCTAAGGATGGCCCTATTTTCGGCGCACTATGCATTTTTGAAAATTGCGAAAAGCGTGCAGATTTGTAAATTCGAATTTCATGCACATTGTTTTAGGCGTTGCCACTTCGGAAAATTGCAACAGAGGTTTCAAAATTCTTCGAATTCATCCTGTTGTTGATCATGATTCTATATTTGTAGATAATATTTTTATGAAAGGAAATAGATTGAAGGATGCTAATAATTTGCAAATATTTAGAAGTATCAAACACACTTCTATACTTTGAGAAGGTTTAATTGCTGATTATGGTATTAAAAAATTGAAAGCTTACATCAGATGTAATGAAGATCTGCTTGTGAGAAATTATTCTTTTTTCTGTTTTATGATCTGTAAATACTGTAACTTTTTAATTTATTATTGTTCGTTCCAGTTCTAAAAGTAAGAAAGAACTACCCTTCCTGACAGTGGAAATAAATGCAAATAAGCACGAGAGGTGATTCGTTTGAATTATACTTTTTTCTTTCCCTTATACGTATGTACCTACTGAGTGTCTGGTGAAGTGATGTAATGCTGTGGAAAATTGATTTCGAGATTTCAACGGAAATACACGTTTTGGTGTCGCCTGGTACCGAATAAGTAGTTTTTTTTCAAAGCATCCGTCCATCTGTCTGAGAACACTACTAGCGACTAAACTACACGTAAGATATTTTCAAATTGAAGAAACCCGTGTCGATCTTTCTTGAGTTGAATCTTTAGGCTCCAAGTGATTTCTTTATATTTCTTGTAAGAATAGAGTAAAATACCCTTATAAAGGTGGCATTGGTCAGATTGTCAGGTTTAACTCTAAATTTTTGAAAATTTCAAAATTTTTCAGGTGTCTTATAACTACTAAATTAAAGATGACTTTTCCTTCACATACAATTTGTTTTCCATTGTGAGTTCTTTCATTAAGGTGATGTACATTGTTTGTAACTTTTAGAAGTTTTCGTGCAATATTTCGAGCAATATCTGCAATGTTAAAAAATTACCAAAAACTTTCCTGCTAAAGGGCTCCACGTTTTTTCTTTAAACCTTTAATAGGGATAATGCTAAAACTACTCTATAAGATGACATAGACAACACATTTCATCTATTATATTGTTTTTGAAAAATTACAAACATATTTTTTTACTTGTCTGTTACGTCGTTAATATTTATACAAGCGGCAATTTTGTCATATTATTTTATTTATGATTACTTGTGCTTTAAATAATGTCATATAAAGTTTCTCGAGAACTCAACAGTGAAAACTAGCACAAAATTCCGCATTTTCAGAAATGCGGCTCAAACGCCATTTTCTCAAAAAAGGCTCCAAATGTTTTTCAAATTTTTTCGAACGGGTATTGCTAATTGCACTCTTTAATGTGACGTAACGTTAATTAGGGGGTATTTGTTTTTGTTTTTTGAGAAGTTACACAGACATAATTTCTTCGAAAGATTCTTTCGCCGTCATTATGCACATTTTCAGAAGTTTGTTAACTCTATTGTATTTGTGAGTTGATGTTTTTCTAATGACTTCTAATCAACTTTTTTTGAAAATTCAAAAATTGTCTGTGGAAAACATCAAATTTTGAATTTTGTCGCGCTTCAACATCTTTTTTTTTAACGGCTCCAAATTTTTCAAATAAAATTGCTATTTAGGACGAGGTTTCTTTAACATTCGTAAAATATTTCCGTTCTATTATTAGAAAACCGAAAAATTAAGAAAATTTCAACACAAAAAAATGTACATTGGGCGGCGATAGATGGCAGCTGGCAAGAGTATGTGGTAAGTCGGAGTAACCAGCAGGGACCAAAGGAAGTAAAAAACTGAGCTGACTCGGTGGCTCAGCGATCTCGCTCTCATTTCAGGTCCTGGTTCGATTCTCCGTCAATCTCATGTGGAATTTGTTTCGACAAAACGAGTTTGGCTGCTTCACAAGGGCTTGTCCAACTCCTGTGAAGTGTCCTAAATCCTATCGCTATCCTAATTCCTTCTCAATTCTGGCCGCTGGGTAATGACGCAGAAACGCGTAGTACGAGGCGCATACGCGAAGATGCTACCTGGTGGCCCTTTTGACCAGTAGACTGCGACGAGACGTGTCATTAAATAACAGATAATATTAATGGAGGATTACTCTTATATATAGCAGAAATTTCAATGTTTTAATATTACATAACCATTTTCAATCATGCAAGAAAGTATGTGCTGTTGTATCATCTGTACTTTTTTTTTCCTTCTGAAAACGTGTTTTTTTAAACTTTCTAATTAGTACCGAAAATCTAGTAAATGCTGTAGTTTGATTTAAATTGGGAACTTAATTTGTGGACTATTCCCTTAAGACCTTACTAGCATGTCTAGTGGTTTCTATACATTTTTAAAAATAATTTTGCAGTTGCACAAGTAGTTCAGATCACCATATTTTATTTATTAATTTAAATTTAATTAGCTCCTTTAATTATTAATCCTCTGTTTAGCAAACTTGCATGCAGCTCTGCAGCTAGTATCATTCTTATTTCATAGTTGAGAATTTCTTTGTTTGTTATATTTATGTGTCTATTGAAGATTTTTGTTCTCAAATACGAAAGTCAAGGATGGAAATGCATGTGCTTTATATTGAGAGTAGATTTGCGAAACTAACTAGAAATAATGTTCCAAATTTATGATTGTATGACATTCTATACAAGCATGGCTATGAGCCTATTCATATTTTTGGTATGTGTCAGCACCATGAAAATGATCATTTTATGATCATATTATTTTTTGATATTAGAATGGTCCAAATATGAGATGTTCTCAATATGAGTTTTGTGCCTTCGCAGGACTTAATAACACTTTTGTATTATTTTTCATTTCATTGTGTCAGTAATTTTAATTAAGTGGCTTAATTATGAAGAAATTCAATTTTGAAAAATTATTATTTTATTAAGTATATGAATTAAAAAATTATTTCATGCTTGTAATGATGGTCATAATTTAGTTTCTTCTGAACTTAAATACATTTTGTTTTCTTTCTCATTTTAGGAAGCAAGCAATCCTCCCAAAGGAGGTCAGAGACTACAGCCATTTGATCCTCCTAGAAAACCTCCTAGTTGGCTATCTCGCTGCTCTTTGCTTTGACAATTGAGAACCCTTTTTATATGACATTCTACCACAAATTTGGAAGACATTGTGACATCTTTCTTCTGCGATTAGCAGCTGGTGGAAGCATACATTTTGTAAAGTGATGCCAACATGAACTGTTAGACTGGAATTGAACTGTGTACTCATTTTGTGTGAAGAGGAAATTCAATCTTATTTACTCATGAAACTCAACAGATGTAGTGCACAAAAGGGAGTAGCTTGGAATGGTGCTTGGTTCAGATTGCCATCTTCTCTTCTTTAGATGAGCTCATCAAGGGTGGATGCTTTCTAAAACTGGAACTGAAAGCTGCTTCTTGTGGAATGAATGTTTTGTAATGTGGTTGCCACCCAGAATTGTCACAACTGCTACTTGTTAAATAATGTTGACTGAGATATACATCCATGACAGACTAATTCTAGGAAATTTACTGGGGATTTAGGATGTTTGTGTAATGACATGTTGTAGGGTCAAAATGGTGTTCACATATTTTCAAATAAGACATTGAGTATACACATTTATATTGTCATTTACCCTTAGTGGTTAACCTTGTACCTTGTTCTTCAGTATAAAAGAATGAACCTTCTCACAATTAATTGCATTTATATTTGTTCCTAAAGAGATATCACTATATATATATATATATATATATATATATATATATATATATATATATATATATATATATAAATAAATTTTGACATGTTCTTCAATATTTCAAATCCAACATTTGCTGTGTGCTTGGCTTATTCCTTATTTCCTGGGTGTTTGTAATAATGACCGAGTATTGTAGGTATTTCTGACCCCTTTTGATCTCTTCAGTCAGCAAAGTTGCACACGTTGTTTCAGTTGAGTTAAAAGTTCTGAATTAATTGGCCTAAGGACATGGGAATGCATGTTGCATGTATAAATGGTACACTGAGTCAAGAGCAAACGCACAGTGTGGCTTTTCTAGATATGGAAAAACACAGTAAGTTTCAGAATTTGGTATAATTATTAGATCTGTACTTATTAGAACTGCATTTCTTGACCTTGTGAATTTGGTTTTTTGCTCTTGTGATCATTTCTTTCCTTGCCCAGTGTAGTCAATATAAAGTTATTCATTGCCTTGCCAAACAACCTTACAGTTCAGTAAATTGGTTTAAATCTAATGTTGCTTGTGTTTCTTTGCTTTGAATTTGCATTGTTTACTATTGTCAAGGTCAATATATTGGGGACCATTATGAAAAAAACATTTCTGTGGATTTTGATTCAATCTTGAAATTTTGATACAAATTTTGTTGAATGGAATTCCATTCATCAATTGACTTGCACAGAATTTTTGAATCATTTTATATGAAAATCTCTGTCAAGTTATTCAGATATCTTGTATTTTTTAAATGTAACATATAAGCAAATGCTATATAAAGATCTGATTATTCACATAATTTGTCTGTAACAATATTACATCCATTGTTTGTTGCTGTGCAGTAATTGTGCATATTTTAAATTGCAACTGCACATCAATGAATATTTAAAAAGAATCCATTAATGCATTTTTATTGCAGTAATAAAACATCTGTTGTGGGAATGAAAATTTCATGGTATTTGTAATTATTGAGAGTAGGGCACACTGTGTAGGAATGTAAGGAAGTGATCTGCTTGCTTCTTATGTATTTCAGTATTCTTGAAAGATTGTTTTGTGAAATACTGCATCTTGCCTACAAGAGGAAGAGGTGTTTGGTTTGTTGAGTCTGCAATTTTCTTTCAGTGCCTGGTGCATAGATATGGTGATAATAAGATATTGCTTCAAGTTTTATATGCACGTTTTCTATTTATATTATGTTATTTTTGTACATTGGTGGAAATGTTTTCTTTCACAGAAAATATGTATAAACTCTGGGAAATGAAGTTCAAAATTTATACCTGAAGTTATCTGTGAAATATTTAAATGAGTATATTTGGTCCCAAGCTCATTTCCATTTTGTACTTCATTTTCATGGTGAGATTTTTTCAGCTAGAAGGTGTAGCATTTTCATTATTTTCAATTGTGTTTAACAGTTCAATAATTTTATGCTATGTCTTCTTTCTGAAATAAAGTATAATTTTCTCGTATCTTGAAAGTATGTGGTACAGAAATCTCATTTTGAAGATTGTTGTTGGTACAGTGTTTCAAATATTGTCCACAGTACTGAAAGTAAAGAAAATACACTTTGTATCTCCCTGAATTGCTTTGAATTTTAAAAATAACAACTAAAATTTTGTAAACACAATATTGCCTTGTACAATGCTCATGTAATTGTGTGCTATTCATCTTTTTTAAAAAAAATAAATAAATTGGTTTAAATGTATCATTACATATTTAACATCTTGTACCATTCCTCAAGGTCTCAACAATATTGAGCCGAAATAGTATGAGTTTTGTTGATTTTTCACTCTGCTTTCACGTTCTCATTATTATTCTTAAATATGAAGAAAGTAGTATGTTGGTGGTTTCAAATTAAGTTGGGAGGTAGGATCCAGAGAATACCTGAACAGAAATTATAGTTTTGCAGGTATACTTTATTAACACTTCATTAATACTATACTAAAGCTTGTCATTTCATGTAATAGATATTCTCATGAGAAGTACAAGAAGTGTGGTGATAATAATAAATTATTCCTGGACAATATTATTTATTTTAGTCCGTAAAAGGAGACTCAATTGAAAGAAATGCACATTTTTAATGTGCAGCAGTAACGACAAGGTTTCAGCAGATAATTTTACATTGAGAAATTACTGATGGAAACTAATTCTTAGAAATATATATTGCCTCCCCCCCCCCTTTTTTTTTAAATTTAATAACACTCAACACTGTAACACTTAAGCTTATTTATTAGGCATCTGCTTTGAATGCTATGGGACAAATTTCATAGAGAAAATACATATAATAAAGGATAACATTTTTTTATTACAAAATCACAATTATATCAAATAACAATAACCAACTACCATCCGTTCATTCACCACATGTTCAGTACTGTGCATAAATTACCTAACTGGTTATTAAATTGGCAATAAATGATTGAATAACTTTATTTTACCAACAAATATTTCTTGGTCCTTGTACATTCATAATTTAATATTTTAAAATTGTTCCATTTCCCTTTCCTAGACTCCCTTACCTAGATGAAAATGCTCTGGGCTAGAAATTGGATAGTTTTGCATATAACCTATCTGACATTCTGGAAATATTTTGGGAGTTAGTTGGAAAATTGAGATCTTTATGAAGTTGGTTGTTTGAAACCTATCATGGAGTGTTTACAGCTATTCTCAAAACTATTTTGGAAGGTTTGTAGGTGTTTGATGAAGGAGAAAGAAGCGCCTCCCCAGATGGGGCAAGCGTAGATTAGAGAAGGAAGAAGTAGGCTTTTGTGACGATATAGAGAGATTTCTGTGTGAAGGGAAGACTTCCTATTGATCATAGGGTATAATTTATGGAGAGAAGTATAGGCTAGATTTGGGCAGGAGAGAATGTGAGGTTTTAAAGTCAGTTGGGTTGCTAATAGAACTCCAAGATATTTAATATTCTTGTGTTTAGAGTGTCTACGAGATGGAACTATTGGATATTAGTGGGGGCATGTCAGGGAGGCGTTTTAGAGCGAACACTTCTCCTTCACGTTTTGAAGGGTTCCAGTTTAGTCTCCAGTTCTCTATTTGCAAAAGTTGTCTAGAGCTCCGAGTTATTTAAATGACATCTGAAAGATTGGGATTGGAAGTAAATAAGACTATCGTCGGCGTATAAATTTGTGCAGGTATTATTGGACTGAGGGACATGTGAAGTGAAAATATTGAAAAGAGTAGGAGAATGGGGAACCTCGTGGTACCCCAGTTTTGATATTAATGCGTTGGGATTGGGAGCTATTGATTTTTACAGAAAAAGATATATTGCTTACGAAATCCTTTATAATGCAGTAAAGGTCCAATTATTCCGACCTTATACAGAAGACCGTCATTTCATGTCATATACCATCGAACGCTTGTAAATAGTCTTAAGAAGACAGCGGTAGTATATTCGTTTCTTCAAAAGACTGAGCTATTGATTCCAAAACGTGCAATAGCTAGTGGGTGGTGGCAAACTGGTGAAGAAACCGAATTGCACATTGGGGATGATTTTTTTTTTCTTTTAAGAATTTGTTGATGCGAATAAGGAAGAGCTTTTCGATCAGTTTTGAGAATGTTGCCAATAAGCTCATGGGTGTTTTTTGTTCTTAACGTGTTGTTAACGTAACTTAACGTGTTTTTTAAATTTAAAATTAATTTCAGAGAAGGGAGTCTATATTCTTGCCTTCTTTTTTCGGAAATTAATTTTCGAATATGATTGTGGATCAATTTTGCTATGCTAAGCGAGGCTTTAGCAAAAATAAGCGAGCTTACATCAAAATAGCGTTTTATATTGTTCGTAAGCACCGCTTAGCATTAAGCTACGCTTTTTACATCGCTCGCCGAACGATCGCTTAAGAGCTGATTTCACTAAAAGTAAGCTCACTCAAATTTAAACGAGCTTACGGCAAACGCGTTTCACCAGTCCCCTCGAGGTGATCTAGCGGCGCGGCTTAGAGAAGCAGGTTTCGTGCGTCCCGCAAATGTTGGCAACGCTAGAAAGTAAACCAACGTTCTGTACGTCCTTTGACACATTTGTCAGGGGCGTGAAATTTGGCGTTCAAATCGGATTAATGATTTTTGCGCCATCTACAGCAAGCCCGTAGTTAGCCGAACTAAGCCTGTGACGTCATATAATTCAAAAATCTGGCAATGTAGGCCGTTTGTTTTTTGTTACGTGCAGACGTGCTTATTTTTATCCAAATTTTCCAGTATGTAGAATGCCATGCCTTTTAAGTAGAGCGAATTGTGTCGCGATATTTATTTGCCATGTCTAAGACTTTGTTTTCGGTTTTTTGGAAGATGATATTGAGAAGACCGGTGGTAGACAAATGCATTTCTAGGATTTTCGCCCTACCAGCTGTGGAGGTATTTATAATTCATTTTGGAATCCTGTTGCATAATTATAATTGATTATTTCATTTGTATGCATTTACATCATGCAAAATAGTCTTAAAAATCCTTTGTAGTATAACATAACCTAAGTACATGTGTCATTCTGTTCTAGATGTTTAAAAGTATTGTAATTGTATTATTTCTAACTGATCATTTCGTATGGTATTGGACAAGTTTTGTAAAATATCCATTGTTTGCAATGTCCATGTACTTAAAATGTCTCATATTCAAATATACATAATTCATTGTTTGCATTTCTAGAATAGGTACTCTCTTTAGTGTATGATGAAATGTAATTAATTTAATTTGCTTAGGTGTACGAGATACGTTTCCATTCTGGGGGCGATATTCGAGTGGCCGTATTTTTTGAGGAAATAACTGGTACAATATAAAAAAAATTGACTTCACCAACATTAGAAGAATTGTATCTAGAGTGTTTTCTATAAACCCAGCCCTCTTGTCTTCTGAAAGAACATTCCAAGAAAATTGTATTACAAAGTGTGACAGTGAAATTTTTGTGCCCTTGAAGCTGCAAGTGCTGCTAGTCTAGATGATATTGTAGATAAATATATCATATTAGCAACCTATATATCAAATAATAATTGCCTTATTCTTCATGTCTTCCGGGCTTATGGGCCGTGGTCCAATTGGCTCTGGGATGCCAAACGTTCTCGCCCACGACTGCGGTGGGACTCTCAGTTGGCGAGGTCAGAGAGTATATACAGAGTCGGCATAACATGTTATTCTTGAAGCTCCTTATTTTCGATGGAGGGGAGAAGGTCGACCTCACACTCGACGGAAGCACGAATCAGAATGAAGTATCCATTTATTGCCCTCGCCAAGCCAATAAGCGTGCGAAGGCGAGTCTACCATTGAAATGGAGGGCAGACGATTACCCGGGGCATTAGAAATTTCGTGTTCTACCAATATTCCAATACGGAGGTTTTAATTAAAGAATTTATTTTACGTGAAATTAAGCGTAAGATAATGTAGAAGTCGGTAAGATCTGAAAGGATTAATAATTGTGAGGTATGTTGTAAATAAATTGTAATGATGCAAGTGGAAAATATTTTCATATAAATAATTTTTATTTTTAAAATACATAAATACACATCGTTACAGAAAAACAATATGCATGATTCATGTTAATGTAAAAAAATAAATTCTGGTGAATCATCATGTGCCACACTAACTATTACACAATTTACTGCCAGCTAAACAATACAAAATATAACCAAATGTCACATACAAATACCTACTTAAAATTATATCTATATATAATTTCATCCCTTCCCGTCAATCCTTCTTGGATGCAAATGGTATGGTGACAATATATTATATATAAGGAAGCGGATAATCACACCAACCGAAACTGTTCAAAGTATTAGTTGTGGTCGGTACCTCAGTGGTCACAGAATCTGGGCGTAAACCATAAGGCCCAGTTCGAATCCTGGCCACGGGCAACCAATTCTTTGAAAAAATTTAAGTATTAAGATTATATCATTCATAAAGAATTCTTTAAATGTATTAGCCAGTTGTGAAAAAATATGTTTAGAAAATAGAGTAAAATTGCCTGGTAAAATCCAAACTATTGTACAAAGAGCTATGTATATAGTCAACTAAGACAAAACAGTTAGGAAGACCTTTTTATACGAGAAACAAACACCTTTAATTTGGTACATTTTATGTGTATACAAGTGAAACTATAAAACTGAGTGTTTTTTTCGTATAAAAAGTCTTCTAACTGTTTTGTCTTTGTGAACTAAATTTACTTGCCAAGGCAGATCTTACTATTCTTTTGATCAGGTAAAAATATTTGAGCCTGCGGCTTGGAATATTCAGGAAAAAATCCATCTTATGTTAGAAGAAGAGATTTTATGCCCTATGTGGGAAAAGATATCGAGTAAGATTAATAGAATTACTTCAAATCGATTATATCCCAAAATACTTTTTAGAACTTGTAAATTTGCTTTTGAAATATATGATATTGCCCAAAAACCAGTAAGTTTGCTCAATTACACACAATATCACTCATACACTCAGAGTTACATAGTATGAATCTCTATTAGATATTTCAATTGATTTAATAATATGAAGGTTATATCTGTTGATTTCTCATTAACCAGTCATGGAGAACTTGTTATGTTTAGACACATTGTCTTAAAAGCAAAGTCCCGATGAAACAAATTAATTAGGGAATTAATGTATACTAGTGGTGTTGTGTGTGTTATCGTTGGCCTTTTTAATGAAATAATATAAACGTCATTGCCAACAATAGTATTTAATAGCCACGTAGCGTAGTCGTTTTGTGCT